TGGTCAGATTTGGGAGGGGTCCAGAGAAAACTACGGAGTCCGACATCGTTTTTGCATATTCACACACCGAGGCAATATTAATTTTAGTGACCTCCGATTGGCGTAACCGGGTGTCATTGCCGCCGACGTGAATAACAATCTTACTGAATCTACGTTTAGCTTTAGCCAGCAGTTTTAAATTTGATTCAATGTCGCCCGCTCTGGCCCCAGGGATACATTTGACTATGGCCGCTGGTGTTGCTAACTTCACGTTCCTCAGAATAGAGCTGCCAATAACCAGAGTTTTATCCTCAGCGGGTGTGTCGCTGAGTGGGGACATAACTCCACATGTGTTCATTCATAGTTTTGATGCCTTCAGTGAGAATCTACAATGTAAATAGTCATGAAAATAAAGAAAACGCATTGAATGAGAAGGTGTGTCCAAACTTTTGGCCTGTACTGTATATAGCTAAACTTTTTACAACTACGGTACTTGGATACAAATATGGAAAATGAGCTAAAGAGAACATTTGAAGAGCTACATGATGGTGTCGAGTCTGACGCCCACCGCAGACACTGTCTGTCCACAACAAAAGCTTCCTCGGGATAACAATGGCTATCACGTCACTGGATATAACGTTACTGGGACTAAAAATCTACAGAAGCGCTACCGCTTAATGTAACGTTACAGCACTGTGGTGAGGCCAGCAGGTCGACAGTGACTTCAGAGATGGTGAGAGACGTGTGTCATTAAGATGCTCTGGTAAGAATTGTTCATATACCTCTATCTGACTTGACTATCTTTTATTGTTTTTATGGCTAAAATGTTTTAGTGAAAGGGAACTTCAGTTTGTGAAGGTATACTGCATGTTGCGTGCCGTTTTAAAACCTGGCCAAAAATAACGGAGTAATGCACCGTTTGGTAACGGTAACTGAGTTACTGAATTTAGAGTAGTAGTTACTGCCAAAACTAATGGCGTTACTGTAACGCGTTACTAATAACTAATAACGTTACTAATAACGCGTTACTGCCCAGCACTGGTACTTATATGTATTTGTCTGTACTTGCCTTATCTGTACTTATTAGGGGTTCAAGCTCGAAGGATATAACTGGAAGTTGTGTGCAAATGGTGCTCAAAATACAAAAATGCCAATAGGCCAGATGGGGGTGCTATAATTAAGGTCAAAGAAAATCTGGATTTGAGAGGCCATCCCCCTTGCATCGTATGTCACATTGACTTGAAACTCAAAACTCTTGGTCAGGTGAAGGAATTCTACGAAAGCCTAAAGACCCCTCAAGGTCCGCCCACGAGATTGTCCACCATATTGAATTTTCTGAAAAACACCATTTTTACATCTCCTCCTAAGGCGTAGGTCAGATTTGCACCAAACCTTATGTTGGGCATCATGGGATGGAGCTTTACAAAAGTTGCCAAAGACTTTTTGATATGTCATTGCGTTTTGATGATATTGTTCAATGAACTTTAGAGGGGGGTTACTCCTTGACCGTTGAGTCTAGACTTGCACCGATTACAAAATGATTTCCGATTTGCAGAGTGTTTGGATGGCCGATTCCGATTTCATTTTTTTCAAACCACTTTACAGCACACAAGATATTGCAATGTTTTCTATCTTTGCATTTTAACCAAGATACAACCAGCTTTTCAATAATTATCTCAAACAAACAAACAAAAACAGTGACACAGGTTAAGAAACATTTTCCTTTTTGCTCAAATATAACTTCAGGTACAGTATTAAAATAAATAAGTAAAAAAGGCATACAGAAATAAAAACATGGATAAATAAAATAATAATTCTTGGAGTATAGCATGTGGGTAATTTCTTGAATAGAAAAAAAAAGTAAAAATATCTCCTGTGGAAAATTCACACAGGTCTTCAGGACGCGCCCGCCAGTAAGCGTGCGGACACACGAATCTTCAGCACACGGATACGCGCCTTGTCAGTTTCGAGCGGCACAGTGCAGCAGTGAGAGCTCCGCAGTTCAGTTTAACACGGACAATTAACAACCTTCTCCTTCTCGCTTTTGATGTGTGTGCGTGAATGATGAAGGTAAGAAGCCGTCCATGTTTCACTTCCTCACATCGCCCAAGCCGTGAGTTGCACATGTGCGTGTGTGTGCGCTGCTGATGTTACACGATGTCAATCATGCGGCGAGCCGGGAATTTGACCAGCATTTTAAATTGGCATATTTTAGACTGACCGGCCGGTAGCAGGTCATGGCCGATTGCGTGAAAACAGGCCCAATTCCGAGCACTGCCGATAAATCAGTGCAAGTCTAGTTGAGTCAGTTGTCACAAACTTGTAGGAAATGACTTGTAGATTATTTTACTAATGAAATATTATCTGTTTTACTCTAGTTCTCATCACACGTCTCATGTTATTTTGAGCTGCAGTGATGGAATCAGAGTGTAAAAGTAGCACCACTGTCAGCAGTCACTGCAGACTAAAATAAACGTAATAATTTCAAATAGTGCTAAAATCATGTGTTTAGTGTTGTAAATGATCTCTGTGCTTGTTAGAAGCTCAGTTTTAAAAACAGTGGAAATAAAACCCCTGGAACAATTAAATGATTCTACAGACCTATAACAGCATGCAGGCTCCTCTCTTTTACCTGTCACTCCAGACTTTCATTCATGGATACTTTTTTCTTCAGTGATCTGATTGGTCAGAGGTTGGGATGTTGACAGGTTGTGATAGGATACTCTGAAGTTAACCTGCTCCGGAGCAGGTTAGCTGTTCAGCCTAAGTTGCCACTGTAATTTATCCTGGTAAAAAGAGAACCAGCTTCATAGTACTGAAAACCCTGAGTTAACCCCGAAGTTACCTCGCTAACTCCAAATCCTGCTTCGTAGTACAGGCCTCTGATCTCACTTATCATCATCATCTCCTTCATTTTATTTCATACTGACACACTTCTCTTTATATTATTATTATTATTGTCATCGTTATTATCATCATTATTATTACGGATTTATTTACACATTAAACACTGATGCACTTAAATACTATACAAATATTATATACAAATACAAGTATTGTGTACAAGCAAGTACGTACTGACTGATGGGTGAGTGTGTGACATACAATTAGGGCAAAGTGGGAGGTTTATCACCACAATGTAACAGCTGACTGAAACACACACACACACACACACACACACACACACACACACACACTTTTTTGGATCATATTGACTGTATGTAAGAAGGTCAGAGGGGTAGAAGGGAAAAATCATGAGGTCATATCTTTTGAATTCTGGAAGATTTTAGCAATCTGTGGGAGTTCACATTCTACTGTTACACACTGGTGTGTACTTTACAGGCTGACCCAGAGGTTTTAAACTCTGTTTATACTTAAATTTAATTATTTTTTAAAACGAGAGAAGAAAATAAAGCAATTAAATTTTAATATTTCTCTCTTTTAATATTCCTCCTCTTCTGAGAGTCTGGAGGAGATCTGAGTTTAAATTAAAAAAGGTAAAGACAATCAAAAGTATGAAAACAAAAACATTTTCTGATGTCGGTTGTGGTGGATGACATACTACAATACTACAATGTAAAGAAATACTGTAGTATTGAGAGCTTGCAATTATACAGGAAAACTAAAGGGGAATTACAAAGATAATGCAGGAGACAAAATACTGCACAAAGTTTAATGACGACCCTTTCTAATCATTGGTGGGTAAAAAATATATGTGGCTTTAAGAGTACTATACTAGCATTATAGGAGTGTTGTACTACTGTTATATATATATATATATATACCAATATATATATATATACACATATAGTATTACAGGTTTGTTATGCAAGTATTATAGAAGTATTGTGCAAGTATTCCTGGAGTATTGTGCAGGTTTTATAAGAGTACTGTACAGGTATTATGGGAATATCATGTCAGTAGTGTAGGAATAGGCTACTGTACAAGTATTATAGGAAAATTGCACAAGTATTACACGAGTATTTGATTACAGGAGCATGACACAATTATAAAACGAGTACAAGTATTACATGAGTATTGTATTATTCTAGCATTGTGGGGGCATTATACTACTATGATAGGATTATTGTCCAAGCATTATTTAAGTATTGTAGAATATTATAGGATTCTTGTACAGGTTTTAAAGGAGTACTGTACAGACACTATAGAAGTATAACAATAATAATAATAATAATAATAATAATAATAATAATAATAATAATGATAATAATATGCTTTATTTGTAAAGCACCTTTCCAAACAAAGTTACAAGGTGCTTTACAACAGCAGAATAAAAAGGCAGAATCCAATAAAATGAAAATAAGGAGGAGTATTAGAGTATTATTCAGGACTGCAGTGGCAGTCTTTTATATTTATATTAATATCTAGAAAACATTGAGGATATAAAACATGAGTTAAAATACCACAAATACACGAAAAATACTGCACGTGAAGTAGTTTAAAATCCAGATCTTAATACTGTGGTAATAGTACAGAAATACTCCAACAGATAAAGGGCTGAACTCTCAGTATCAGTGAGTATTACAGACATATTTAAGAGTATATTCGCAGGCAGCAGCAGGAGGAGCAGCAGATGGAAGAGGAGGAGGAGCAGAGCCGCTCCCTCCTGATGAAAACAAGCTAGAGGAAGACGGAGGAGAGCCGGGCTACAGAGGGCCCGCAGCCCGGGGACTGAACACCGGGACACACGGACAATACCGGCGGTTAACGGCCGGGTCGAAACGAACCGAAACATCGAGAGGAAGAAAAGTAACACCAAAAATAAAACGCAGATGCAGAGGATGAGACCTACCCGAGCAATGAGGCGTCTTCACTCCAATCTAAATGTGCCGAGACTCGGGCTTTGATCCGGTTTCCGTTCCGGGAGTTTCCGGGTTGAATCGAGGTCTTTGATCCAGGGTTTAGTTCGGGTCTTTAGTCCGAGTTTTAGTCCGGCTTTTCAGATTCTGTAGAGGTCCATCTGATCGGGGATTTATAGCCTAGCTCTGTACGGATCCGCTCGACTCTGCTTGCTTTAAAGCAGCAGTGACGCAACATCCGTAAAGACAGACGCAGTTCTAAGTAACGACACATCCGGTTAATACTTTCACAATAAAAGTTTATTTGCGAGAAAGGACCATATGGAAGGGACAGTGCAAATGATAAAGTACTGTACATACGTATGAAAATAAGTTTGTCTCAGTATTATTTTTGTGAAGAAATCAACAATCCGTGTGTAAATGTGTAATCTGTAAATATGAAACACCTTCCACAATTACCAAAAAAAGATGAGTAAACTTGCAAAAACATGAAACAGATCTGCAAGTACACAAACACATTAAAAAACAGAAACACATCAAGGAAGCACTTAAAACCCATGGCCAGACCAACGGGACCTTTGCAAAAACCTCTAAAAGACCCAGAGCAGACAGAGAGGAAGGGACACAAAAACGAAACAATATTGTCATTCCTTAGGTCGCAGGAGTACCTGAGAACCTCAGGCAGATTTTCAACAAACACCACATCCTTGTGCACTTTAAACCCAGTAACTCACTGAGAAAGAAAGTTGTCCACCCCAAGGACAAAACACACAGACATAAGCAGAGTAATGTAGTGTATGCAGTTAAGTGCAGCCAGAAATGCACAGATTTATACATTGGGGAAACAAAACAACCGCTCCATAAGCGCATGGCACAGCACAGGAGAGCCAGCTCCTCAGGTCAAGACTCAGCTGTCCACCTACATTTACAGCAGAAGGGACACTCCTTTGAGGACAGCAATGTGCACATCTTGGCCAGGGGAGAAAGATGGTTTGAAAGAGGCGTTAACGAATCCATCTACTTCAAACTGGAACGACCACCCTTAAACCACTTATCACCCACCTACAATGCAGTTTTGGGATCCCATCCTAGACGACTTCACACCCATTCACCCCTGGTCCCACCTGACCCTAACAACTCACATGGTGACCTTAATGGCTCTGAAACTAAGAGCTCATATGTGACCCCAACGACTCTGCAAGGGTTCACACCCACACATGCCATGTTCAAAGTCAAGCCTGCAACTCTGTACCAGTCATTTACTTTGAGTCCAAACTGGGTACAGATGTTCCTGTACACTATCCCAGCCACTTTGTTATGCCTCTCCATGTACGCTGATCCTGCCTGCATTTTACACCCTGCCACCATGTGCTGGATCATCTCAGGGGCATCTTTGCACAGCCTGCACCTTGGGTCTGATCTGCTGTGGTAGACCCTGGCCTCTGTGGCTTTTATGCATAGGGCCTGTTCTTGTGCTGTGATGATTAGTGCCTCTGTGCTGTCTGTCAGTCCAGCATTCTCCAGCCACTGGTAGGTCTTCTTCTTCAGCCACTTCCTATATCTGACGGTGGTATGCACCATGCATGGCTTGTCCCTCCATGTTGTTTGCTCCACCACTCCTTTGCCCTCATCCAGTTTCTGTTAGAGGCATTCACTTAGCAGCTCATCCTTTGGGGCCATCTTCTTTGATGCACTCCTGGATTTTGGATGTTTCATCCTGGATAGTGGCTCTGACGCTCACTAGTCCTCAGCCTCCTTCTTTCCGGTTAGTGTATAGCCTCAGGGTGCTGGACTTGGGGTGGAACCGAGGAGCTTTCTTGTCTTGATATCTGTGGCTTCTATCTCCTCCTTTGGCCAGCTTATGATCCCAGCTGGGTACCTGATGACTGGCAGTGTGTACATGTTGATGGTTCTGACCTTGTTCTGACCATTCAGCTGACTTCTCAGGATTTGCTGTGCTTTTTGGAGGTATTTGGTTGTGGTCGACTTCCTTGTGGCCTCTTCATGATTTCCATTAGCCTGCAGGATGCCAAGGTACTTGTAGCTGTCCTGGATATCTCATAAGTTGCCCTCTACTAGGTCAGCTCCCTCAGTTCTGATCATCTTGTCTCTCTTTGATACCATCCAGCCACACTTGCCTAATCCGAATGACATCCCTATGTCCTTGCTGTACATCCTGGTGGTGTGGATCAGTGAGTCAATTTCTCACTAATTCTTGGCGTACAGCTTGATGTCATCCACGTAGAGCAGGTGGCTGATTGTAACCCCACTTCGGAATAGGTATCCATAGCCAGTCTTCTTGATGATCTGACTGAGGGGATTCAGGCCTATGCAGAACAGCAGTGGTGACAGTGCATCCCCTTGGTATATGCCTCATTTGATGTTGACTTGCGCAATTTTTATTTTATTTATTTATTTGTTTATTTTTAAAAATGGGACAGAACATATTAATGAACATTAACAATGTAAATATATAAGAGATTGTAGCCAAGCGGCTAATTTCCATCCCTTGTCCCATTGGCAGGTAGGAAAGAGAAGAGAGAAAGGGAAGGACATCAAAGCAAGTAGAAGTATAACAGAGGAGAGTAAGGCATGGCATAACAACAAGAAGACATAATAATGACAGAGCTGACAGTGTAGCTGAGCTGGGGACAACATTATATAGTTAGTGAAATTCTATTGCACCAATGCCCGTACAGTTATAAAGTGCATGTGCTGAAAATTCATATTAGGAAGTCCATAAAAAAATCCACAAAAATTATTTTTGAAGGCAGTTTTACATCGCTTCCTGTTTTAATCCAGTTTACTTGACAGAACAGCTGGTTTTGGTTCTGTTTCCGTTTGGACCAAAATATTCAGTTGTCCACACACTCATCTCTTTATCTGAAGGACTTCCTGAACAAACACTTGATATCAAAAGAGTTCAACTCAAGATAAAGTGAAATAAACAAACATTAATTCTGAAACGGTCACATTTTTTTTCATCATGTGTGATTGCTTGGTTATTTTTATTTTCCTGTTAGTAAACGCTCTTCGCTTTTCCTTCGAACCTAAATCAATAAAAAATATTCTGAAATATATCCCAGTAAAATATTAGTAATTGTACACTCCATAACATCATGTCACAATTAACTTCCATTATGTTTTATTAAAGACTAACCTACATCACAATATATCATCTCTATGTTTCTAGTAGGCTATGTCAATTATTACCTAATTACATGCATATTCAAATATTATATACACTAGGACTATTCCACAATAATATAATGCCTGTAATTGATGAAATGTGATATCAGTTTTCCGTTTTAATAATTCAAACCAGATGAAGAGATTCTGAAACTGACAACGTGAAGGAAGTGGAGACAGAGCGCCTCCCAGTGACGGACAAAGGAAATGACAGATGAGAAGAAAGGAGGGATATGAGAAGGGAGGGAAAGGGAATGGAACACTTACAGACTTGCAGACTTTGCAGGCGCGTTACCGGGAAGTAGTGCTTAGGGCTGTCCAAATCCACAATTCAACCAGTCCACAAGGGGACTTAAGCAGACTTTGTGCAGACTCCCAGAGAGTCCGCTTGGGGTGCAGACTTCAGCAGACTTCACTGATTTAATAATCCACAATTCATTGCAATATGGAGGTGATGTTGTGGGTTTTTCAACTGCCGAAAAAAACCTCAACATATCGTCTTCTTTTTTCAGCTGTTCCCTTTAGGGGTCGCAACAGTGAATCATCTGCCTCCATCTAACCCTATCCTCTGCATTCTCCTCTCTTACACCAACTGACTTCATGTCCTCTTTCACTGCATCCATAAATCTCCTCTTTGATCTTCCTCTAGGACTCTTGCCTGGCAGTTCCAACCTCTGTCCCTCTGATGTACTCATTCCTGATCCTGTCCATTCTCGTCACTCCCAAAGAGAACCTCAACATCTTCATCTCTGCTACCTTCAGATCTGCCTCCTGTCTTTTCCTCAGTGCCACTGTCTCTAAACCAAACAACATCACTGGTCTCACCACCTTCTTGCACACCTTTCCTTTTAATCTTGCTGGTACTCTTCTATCACACATCACACCTGACACTTTTCTCCACCCGATCCAACCTGCTTGCACATGTTTCTTCACCTCTTTTCCACACTCTCCGTTGCTCTGGACTGTTGACTCTAAGTACTTATAATCCTCAACCTTATTTATTTCTACTCCCTGTAACCTCACCGTTCCACTTGGGTCCTTCTCATTCACACACATGTATTCTGTCTTGCTATGATTAACCTTCATTCTTCTCCTTTCCAGGGCATTCCTCCACCTCTCTAGATTTTCCTCCACCTGCTCCCTGCTCTCACTACAGATCACAATGTCATCTGCAAACATCATAGTCCATGGACATTCCTGTCTAACCTCATCTGTCAACCTGTCCATCACCATAGCAAAAAAGAAGGGACACAGAGCTGATCCTTGATGCAGTCCCACTTCCACCTTAAACTCCTCTGTCACACCTACAGCACACCTCACCACTGTCCTACAGCTCTCATACATGTCCTGCACCACTCTAACATACTTCTCTGCCACTCCAGACTTTCTCATACAATACCACAGCTCCTCTCTCAGCACCCTGTCATATGCTTTCTCTAGATCTACAAAGACACAAAGTAGTTCCCTCTGACCTTCTCTGTACCATCAGCATCTTCAAAGCAAATACTGCGTCTGCAGTACTTTTTCTTGGCATGAAACCACACTGCTGCTCACAGATGCTCACTTCTGCTCTTAGTCTAGTTTCCACTACTCTTTCCAATAGCTTCATTGTAAAGCTAATCAACATTGTCCCTCTATAGATGCCACAACTCTGCACATCTCCCTTGTTCTTAGAAATCAGCACCAGCACACTTCTCCTCCTCAGGCATCCTCTCACTCTCTAAGACCTTGTTGATAAACCTTGTCAAAAACTCTACTGCCACCTCTTCTAGACACTTCCATACCTCCACAGGTATATCATAAGGACCAGCTGCCTTTCCACTCTTCATCCTCTTCAGAGCCCTCCTCATTTCATCCTTACTAATTTTTGCTACTTCCTGCTCCACAATGGTCACCTCTTCTACTCTTTGTTCACTCTCATTTTCCTCATTCATCAACTCTTCAAAGTACTCTTTCCATCTTCCCATCACACTTGTGGCACCTGTCAATACATTTCCTTCTCTATCCTTAATCACCCTAAACTGCTGCATGTCCTTCCTATCGCTATCTCTTTGCCCTGCCAACCTGTATAAATCAGTCTCTCCCTCCTTACTGTCCAACCTATCATACAAGTCGTCGTACCTTACGCCCTTTTTTGGTCTTTGCCACCTCTACCTAAACTTATGAATGTGTAAAATAGTTATTGATAGTTAGGCCTGATAGTTAGGCTTATTAAAAAGTTACTTGAATTATGTAGGCCAGAAATAAAATTCATCCACATCATGATACAGAGATATGTGGAAGTATAGGCTGTAGAGGGACTAAAAATGCATTTTATTATTGCGGCCTATCAGGCTGTGCAGTGTAATAGGCCAAAAAATTGGCCAAAAAACAAAACAAAAACAAAAGAAGATTTCCAATGTAATTAATACCCAATTTATTGAATTATAGTCCTGTCTTATTTACAAACATTTATGTTTTTGAACGTGTGTAGCCTGTTATATAGAAATGTATTAATACATTTTTGTTTGGTCACAAAAAACGCTATACATGGGATTTATATCTTGTTATCCCCAGGAACAGATGAGTAGGCACCGTAAATCTTGTATGAATATGATTGCAGCAATAGTTGAACGTTTCCATGGCAACGGGTAAAATGGTCTCGAGGGCTGTCTATCAGCCGCTTGGAGTCTCTGCCCACACAGACTTTATGTGATAACAGTAAATACGTCACACTGCGTAAACCTGAAGTCGGCGAGGACTCAGTCTGCAAGTCCAGAGGGTGGACATTTGGATGCAGCTGAAGGGAGAGAAAAAAAAAGAAAGAGATGGAAAAGGAAGGAGAGAAAAAACAAGGAAAGAAGTAACAGAAGGAAAGGAAAACAAGAAATGCTGAGAAAGAAAAAAGGAAAGAGGGAACTAAAAATAGGGAAAAGGAAGAAAAAAGAAAAATAAAGTGGGAAATGACAGATGAAACTAAAAGGAAAGGAGAAGGAAGGCAAAAGAAAAAAGGACAGGGAAAGAAGTAAATACAAGGAAACATAGTCAAGAAGTGAAGGGAAAGGAGGTGACAGGAGAAGGAAGGAACTACTTGAAAGGAAATTAAAGTAAGGACAGGAAGTGACAAAAGGAAAGGATATGAAAAGAAATAAAGACAATCAGTGAATGGAAATGAATAGAAAGAACAAATGAAAGCAAGAAGACAGGGAAAAGAAATAAAGAGGAAAGTAAGAGAAAGAAATATAAGAAATTGAAGAAAAACAAAAACAAGGAAATGAAGTGACAGAAGGAAGGGAAAACAAGAAAAGCTGAGAAGAGAAAAAATGAAAAAAGGGAAATAAAAAAATAAAGTGGGAAATGGCAAATGAAAAAAGGAAAGGAGGAGGAACGCAAAAGAAAAAAGACAAGGAAAAATCTTAATAAAAGGAAAGGAAGACAAGAAGCGAAGGGAAAGGAAGTGACAGGAGAAGGAAGAAACTACATGAAAGCAAATAAAAGTAAGGAAAGAGTTACAAAAGGAAAGAAAGTGACAGAAGGAAAGGGCATGAACAGAAATGAAGACCATCAGTGAAAGGAAATGAGAAAAAAGAAATTGACAAAACACAAAATGATGAAGAAAAGAAATGAAACAAAAAAGAAGTAAAGAAGAAAGTAAGAGAGGCAAAAACCAAGGAAAAGAAGGAAAGCAAAACATGGAAATGAAGCAACAGAAGGAAAAGAAAACAAGACAGGAAAAGCAGAAGAAAATGGAAGAAAGTAAAAAAAGAGAGAGGGAAATATATAAAACATAAAGGAAGAGAGATTAAACTGAAAATAAAAAGAGGAGGAAGGCAAAGGAAAATGGGACATGGAAAGGAAGGAAATGACAGAAAAGGAAAAGAAGCAAAGGGAGGAGAAAAAAAAGGAGGAAGAAAAGAAAGTGACAGGAGAAGAAAGAAACTACAAGAAAGGAAAGGAAAGGAGGCGACAAAAGGAAGGGACATGAATGAAAATAAAGAAAATGAGTGAAGGAAAAGGAAGAAAAAGAAAAAAGAAAATGACATGAAATAAAACGAAAGGAAGAAAAAGGAGGAAATAAGAGAAGGGAAAGAGGACAAGGAAAGCAAGAAAGACAAAAACAAGGAAAGGAAGCAACAGAAGTAAAAGAAGAAAGGAAAAGCAGAAAGGAGACAGAAAAGGTAGGACTGAAAGAAAAGAAGCGTCAGAAAAAGACTCTGTTTTCTGCCAGTGAACATCACTTCCTTTATTCCAGTCAGTCAGCGTAGGAAAATAGATTCACATTAATGTTCTGGCTTCTGTCCTCCGTCACTTTACTGTTTCTCTTCAGAACAAACAAACAAACAAATAAATGAAACAGGCTCCAGGAAAACAAAGTGGGGTTGAAGCAGTAACTCACACAGGTAAAGTAAAGGTGCATTTCACTGATTATTATTGCGGCTTCCAAACCAAAAATCAAACAGGGGATGTTTTTTTTTTTTTTTTGGACTGATGTTGACGCCCCAGCCTTTAATTTAATTGAGTAAAGTGCCAAAAAAAACAAAAAACAAAGTAAAAACAAAAACAAAAAACACAAACGCCAGCTGACAAAAATTAACTTTTAGCATCAGTAATATACAAAAATAGACAGTCACAGGGAAAACCATGCAGGAAGCTGACAGCGTCTTTGAAAAAGCAAAGATACTCTGAAAAAATCTTCATAGCAACAGTAAGAATAATAATGATAAAAATCTGCACATCAACAAGCCGTGCAACTGTATGAAAGAGCAAAGGCAGACGAGAACAAAAAAAATTATCAATATGAAAATCTTTTTTTTAGATTTAGTAGAAACGATGGATAAACAACTTGATTGTGATTCTCTTATTTGCACAAAGGGAACAGAAAATGGCAGCATGAATGCTGCTGTTTGATGTCTGAATCCCACTCCGGTTCGCATCTAGGGACTGCTGAGAGGACTTCATTACCGAGAGTTCCTGAGTCCGAGAGGTAGCAAAAAAAAGGTCAGGGCTAAATAAATCTAATGATTCCTTCTCATCTCAACATAATCTGGTGTATTCTGTTGAATACTCTGAACAGGGATGTCAACGGTTAACTGTCAGTTGGTTAACCACCAAGAAAATTTTTGAGAAGCTTCTGCATGTTGGTCTGTAGGTTAATTCTGCTACTCTTTAGTTTACTGCACTTTGCTCCACCCGGATCTGGTGGGAGACAGACAGTCAGCTGCCCACTTCCCACTCTCCGGTCTCCACTGGTTAGCTAGCCTTGGCTGCTCCGCACTGCGCACCAGGTGGTTCAGGTGGGAGTTGACTATCGGAAACGCTCATTCTGCAATTTCTAATGTGGTCCCAACCCAACAGCGGTGCCGTGGAAACATTGTGCTCACCCTCCAGATTTTGAGCCACAACCCCCGTTTAACAACACTCTTAAGATTCACGATGAGATGAGTTGAAACAAGCAACTACTTGCAATCAGCCGTTCTGCAACATTGTAAAAACCAGCTGGTTCACACCATGTCAACTAAATGAGACGGTGTATGATCTCTATGCAACAACTCTCTGTACTTGTTATGATTTACAGCTTTTCATTTTGTGGCTGAATATAATTTGTAGCTTCTTAAAATATGAATGAGAATAGTGATAGTGAGATAGTGGCTACAGTTGCATTTGTAACAGTGATGAAATGGTAAAAAACAGACACAAAACCAGCATCAGATGGACTGTATTCAAAATTAATACTCCACATAAATATAAATAACCAGCGCCAATTAATAAGTCAGTAAATGTGTGTGTGTGGGCGGGGCATAAGCACATACAGTGAGATGCTGCAGCGACCCACCGTCCGACACCGGCACATCGTGAGGATGGAAGCAGAGGGCTAGGCAGGGACGAAGCACCTGCTGCAGCAAGCGAATATGCCATCAGCGATCATTTTGACTTGACCAACAGACTTCACTACAAGCTGATTGGCTGTTGAAACAGGTGACGTGCTTTACATTCTAAAACCAGCTGCCGGCGATTTGACCAGCTGAATTGCAGGTAAAATCATCAGTGTCGAGCTCAGACCTGCCAGTTAACACTGCTGCAACTTTTCTCTGCAGCGTTCTAAAACACTTTTGTCTCGTTGCAAATCTTTGATCTGAACTGGGCTTAAGCTCTGTTAGCACAGTTAGCAGCATCAGCACAGTTAGTGGAGCTAACATAGTCAACAATGCTAAAGGGGTTTCGTGGCTCAAAATGATGCTGCTACCTGGGGGGAGACCGGAGGCTGACCACAATATTTCCACAACAATGTCATCCCACTACAGGATGGCATTACAAATGGTAATCAAGAGTGTGCAGTGGAACTCGCTAACTTGGCCCCCACTCGACTCAGGTAGTGCACAGTGTAGAGCTGTCAAGGCTAATGTTAGCTAAGCAGTAAAGACCTGAGGGTGGGCAGTTTCTGCATGTTTACACAGCTAGCCAGTTGTCAGTAAGCAAAGCCAACAGAAAATAAAAGGCCAGACATT